GATCATCCTTCCCCTCCTCCAGCTGTTGCAGCTCGAAGGGACAAATCAAAACCAGCCGGGGGATTGTCTTTATTTTTCTTTTGCGCCCCTCCCGGGAGCGGTAAGTATGATGCCTCTCTGGTGTCTCTCCCCTTTTCCTCCTTGGGCCGGTGAGAAGCAGTGGGCATTTGAGGGACGAATAATATCGGGAATGTGACAGAAGGACATGAATGGAAGGCGGTTAAAAATAAACCAGGAGGTGGGAGAAGGGAGGTGCAGATGCTGCGCGGCGCTCCGGGGGCCACCAGTTGTTATTTTCTCCACCCCGGGGCCGGGGCCGGGGTGCGTGCGCCTCGCCGACCGTGCCGAGCGGGAACCCGGGGCTGGAGGCGACGGCGCGATTAAAGATGTCGTTTCCCAGCGAGGTGGGGTTTCGGTTGAGCATCGTTTTGGCTCATCGCAGACTCACCGGTTCCCTTCCTCTGGGAACAGCTGGTGGACGGGTGTGAATCGCTGCCTCTCCCAGCGTTTGGATTTGCGAGCATTTTCTGAGCATTTGAGCTGCACGCAGGGGCTGTATAAATGGCGTGCGCCGAAGTGCCTCTTTCTCACGGTTGTTAGCCCTCCTGGCTCTCAGTCTCTCTCCCGCTCCCTCTCTCTCCCTGATAAGGCTCAGGTACCACCCTGAGACAGTTGTGGAAATCAGCCCTGAGAAATGGAAACAGCCTTGCTGGCGGGGGTGGGAGGAGGAGGGAGCGGTGCCTGGCTGTGGCTTGGGGGGACAGGCACGGGGAGGTGGGCAGTCTGCAAAATCCTGTTAGTTTGTCGGTGCTAAAGAGGAACGGAAATGTCCCTGCAAAGTGTCCCTCTTAAAGGCTCCTGGGAGTTGGCTTGAATAGATTCTCCGAACGTGAATATCTTGAGAAGGGACAGAGATTTTTAAACCAGTCTGATTTGTTGGGTGGAAGGATTTTTTCCCCCCCTTTTTGTTATTTTATTTTTTCCTTTCCTCCCCTTTCCCCTCCTCCTTTCTCTCTCTCTCCCCCCCCCCCCTCTCTTTTCCTTTTCTTTAAGATTAGGGATAGTAAGGTAGCTGGTAGCCAATTAAAAGGAAGGTAATTTGCTTTTCGTAGGCTGGGGAGTTGGATAAACTCAAACCAGCAAACCTAAATAAAAAAAATAAGAGATTATTTGGTGTAGAGCAAGCACAGGGCAGATCTAGGTCTCCTGTAGAGTTGATGGTGAATTAGAAGACCCTCTAGTTTATGACCTTCTGGGAGCCAGTTGGATGGCAGAGGGGTGTACGTACTGTATAAATTAACAGGCACTTTGGTTCCACGGGGGCTTTATTTAAATGGTGTATTTTAACTGCTTTGAGGGAGTTGGGGAAGTAACTGAGCAAACTCTCAAGCTGTTTGGCCTGCGAAAGAATTTAAAGGATGCCAGCCTGACCGTCCACAGTGAAAGAAGAGGCTTAGAGACCTCCTGAGGGTAAACATTTCTGAGCGTGAGATGATGCTGGGAGTCAGGCAAAGGAAGAGGAGTGCCATTTGAGACGCCGTCACAGGTGTATTTTCTGGGTTTTGTGTCCCAACCTCTTACCTAGGAGAATGTATATGATAGGGAAGGAATATATTTTTGCCAGTTCCTTGCTCGTCACTTCATAAAATTCAGTGTGTTTAAGCTTCCGGGCTGACACGATTTAGCAAGAAGCAAGCAGCAGGTGGTCAAGAGCTGGATCCTGTTAATGGCTCCAGAAAACCATTTCTCTTCTGCGCCCCAAGTGCTTCCAGTAATAGAATCTAGTAGATGCCCTGAATTCTGTCATTTTCCTCCCCGGTTCTCTGGGCCACTCTTCTGCATTTTTGGAAGTCCTGTTGGATAGAGTGAATGTCAGAAGCAAGAGTAGACAGAAGACTAGGGCAGGAGCTTTTATGGGTCCTGGTGGAGGAGATTAACTAGCAGGACCTAGGGAAAGCTAAACTAAGGAAGAAGAAAGGCCAGGAACACCAAGTGACAGTGAGGACAGAGCAGGCTGCTAGGAAGATGTGGTCAGGAAGTGGGAGATTGGAAATGCAGGTGGGCAGAGAGAGGGAGGGAGGGAGTTTTGGGGGATGGGAGCTGTGGATTACGTGAAAGGGGGGGATATGATAGGCTGAAAACCAAGTCCACACACACTGGGATTTAAAACATAAGGAGATCGCCCCTTGAGAAGAGTGTAGGAGGAAGCATTGAGATGCACATGGAGGAACTGCAAGGAGAGAAAATGACTATTAGAGAAGTGGAAACTGGGATTGGCTTCTAGGCTGTGGGTGGTAGGGCATGTTCTGAATCTGGGGAACAGAAAACTGTAGCAGGGACAAGCTTCAGGGAGTCAGGAAGTACCCACTTAATCCAGGCCGCTGGTGAGTCTCCAAATGCCCTAGATGCCCTCCCATTCTCTCCTTCCCCTACTCCAGACAGTGGCATAAGGACATACACATTTGGGGGTGGGTAGGTAGATACTAAAAGCTTAGATTGCTACCAGCGTTTATTGACACTCTTTCTGTACAAGCCAATGTGTTATTCTATCAACATCCACTATCTCATTTAATCCTTACAAAGGGGGGGGGAAGGGGAGGACGCAATATCTACAGTTTGTAGACGAGGTGACTGAAGCTTGTTCAAGTGCCGGGGCCTGGATTAAAGGAAACTGTCTTTTCCGGCTTCTCTGATCCTGAACCAGGATAGAGCTGGGTGGAAGGACAGTAAATTCAGAAATATTTTATGAGTGGAAGTTTTAAAAAAAATGCCTTAACATCAATGCAGGATGGAAACAGCTGTAAAGGGACAGCATTATTATTGTGGAATGATGAGAGTGACAAGAAAATAGACCGAGCTGAAATAATATCCAAAGAAGAAGGAAAGAAGGCTGTTCAGTGAGAAGGGGACTTAACAGCCTGCCCCACACGCCCTGGAAATTTATGGCTGCCTGGTGCGTCCTGTGGTTTGACTGAGGACAAGAGAAAGGAGTGTATGTGGAGGAGATGCTCGGTTTGTGTGTTATGATTTGAGTCTTTTATTTTTCTTCCATGCTTGTTTTCCTTACTTCTCCAGGTGAAGTGCTTCTTCTGCATGGTTTTAGCTGAAGGATGCTCTGCATTCTCTTGATTTCTATGGAGACCTCCGAGCTGGGTTCGCCCCTGCTGACACCTCATCTTGCACCTTCTCTACCTCCCAAGGTCTCTTCCTCTGTCGATGGCTTGGCATTGCCCCTGGGTCCAGGGAGCCTGTGATGAACTTAAGGGGGGAGAGCCTGGAGCGTCGCCCCGATAGGCCTGAGCAGCAATGGCTGGACATACTTCAAGTCTCGTGTTGACGTGGGTCAAGCAGTCACTGGAAGGCAAGCGCCGAGACTAAAGGCTTATTTGTGTTTTATTTAAATCTGATGGACGGAGCTTTGGACAGTTTCCATGGCAGAAACCTCTGTTCCATTTTCTGGGCGCAACTGCTGGCTGTCAGAGACTCGCTGCCTTTGAATCTTGCAGCAGCATCACCAACCGCATCCTAGACGTGTTCCCAGATTGGAGCATCCACCCCCCCAAAACAGGTAGTTTGGGAGACCCCAACCTCATCTGACTTAGGCTTGAGAGCGCTAGGCTGCCTGTCTTAAGGAGACCAGCCAAGCCCTGGAGCGCGCCATGCCGAGTCCCCGGGAAGACAGAGCATGGGGCGTGCTGATTTAAAAACAGAAAATGCAAAGTTGGACTGAAAATATCCTCAAGTCTTCCAAGCAATCTGCTTAAGGGTTCCAAACTTACCTTAATTTGGTGAGAGAAGGGGAAAAAA